TGAGGGACCCCCCCCCCCGAGGGTACAAATTTTTGTGCACCTGGCCTCTAGTATCTAATAAGCAAGAAAGTTTTTTTCTTAAATGTTTAAACATAGATCACAAAGCAGTTGCTCTTCTTAAATAATTTAGCCTTCTATTTGTATAACTATTCTTTTTTAATAATATATTTTTATTGATTCAGAGAGGGAGAAAGAGAGAGGGATAGAAACATCAATGATGAGAAAATCATTGACTGGTTGCCTCCTGCACTGGGGATCGAACCTGCAACCCCATCAGGTGCCCTGGACCGGGAATGGAACTGTAACCTCTTGGTTTATAGGTCGACACTCAACCAATGAGCCACACTGATCTGGCTAGTATAACCATTCTTTTGGACATTTTAAACATGTTAAGTACATAAAATATACGTGATTTTAAAAATTATTGCTTCATTTATGTAATGTCAAAAGCTATTCTAAAGCATCAGTGATAAGGTTAATTTCTACATAATTTCTATACTCGTAATTCTTTCTTATTGCTTTGCTAATTTTAACATCCTGCTAAAGTTTCAGTAATATTACTTTGTTTGCTTTTCTGGATTTTAGTTATCTTAAGGCAAGACTTAAGGCAGGATTAGAGGATCTGGTTTATCAATCCACTGTTTCTTTCTTTTTTTAAAAAAATTGTTTTATTGCTTAAAGTATTACAAAGAGTATTACATATGAATCAACTGTTTCTTACTCAGGACTTGGGACCTGATTGTATAATCCAGGATCATTGAAACCTGATTTGACCAATGTATATCCAAACCAAAATGATTATAATCAACTTTTAGGAATTAATCATTCAAAATTCATATGTTGGTAAAATGATATGTACAAACCCAAATGATCATCAGCAGCAGATTGGTTAAGTAAAATATATCCATTTAATGATGTATAATTTGGCTAAGTATAATATGCTACAATTTATGTAAAAAAATTACATCTTTGGGTGTAGGTGTACATATATTCTCCAAGCCATATCAGGTTATTCAAATCTATCCTGGTCTAGTCAAAAGCATGAGGTTTCTGAAGTTGGGGATAATTAAATACTTTCCTGTTTTTCTCACTGATAACCCCTCAAGTGTTTGTGTGGAGTGAACAGAGGGGAAATGATCATTTTTGGAGCTATAAGGCAAGTGAGATCTTATGTAGCTTCTTTTGCTTCCCCCAGCTCTGGTCTTTTTCCAAAAGAGGAGTTCAGAGGACAACTGGTCCTTTTCTGCAAATATCAAAGCCATGGCTCAGGTGAGATGCTATGTGGGTTGTTTGTGTGGGTTTCTTTGTGTTGTTTTGTTTGCTCAAATGGAGCCATTTTTATCCCTAGTATATGTAAACATTTGCTTTCCTCATCATGATGCTTTCTGATGGTTAAAAAGACAAAAAAAAAAAGAACTTTCAGACCGTTTAGTTAGAAACAATTACAAAGTTCTCTTACCTTTGCTTTGAAGAAAAAGGTCTCTAATAAGCCAATTCAAATATTTCTCTGTGGAGATAGTTATAGAAAAAAGAAGTGTTTCAATAATCATTTTTGGAAAAAAGAAAAGAATGTCTAGTTAAAGATCTTTCTTTACACTCTTGCAGATAACTGTTAGAGTGTCAAGTGGTTGGATAACAAGTTTCTCTGAAGAGGTGTCAATCAGGCTAAAATTTATCAGGAATTCATCAAGAAAGATTACTTGTTTGCACAAAGAGATTGTGAATTACACAATGAAAAATGGTCTGACTGAGACCAAGTTTGGAAAATAAAATTTTGCACTGGTTAACGTATCCCTATTCAGGAAACTGACCCCAATTTTCTCCTACACAAACCATTGCCCCTACACACAACCAGTTCTCCCTTCTTTTTTTTAATTTTAATTTTAAAAATTTTTTTTATTGATTTCAGAGAGGAAGGGAGAGGGAGAGATAGAAAGGAACATCAATGATGAGAGAGAATTATTGATTGGCTGACTCCTGCACACCCCCCACAGGGGATCAAGCCTGCAACCCAGGCACATGACCTTGACTGGAATCGAACCCAGGGACCCTACAATCTGCAGGCCAACACTCTATCCATTGAGCCAAACCAGCTAGGGCCTCCCTTGTTTTAAACAATGTTTACAGACTCATTTTGTAAGTACTTTAGTACCTTCTATCTTAGACATCTACCAGAAATCTAGATTAATTTGTTAATGAATCTAATTTTTTTAGTGATTTAATAGGGTAAAATAATTAAGTAAGGACACCTCATAGGGAAAAGTCCGGAACATCTCTGCAGACTTAGGTTTTCCAATGAAAAAATATGTGAAATAAGAGTTTGTTTGATTTCAGTCTTAATAATGGAATGATCTCCTCCATCTGTTTTGTGTAGCTCAGGAATAAAGGGAATTTCCAGTTGAACAATGGGTGTGGTTATAAGATTGGGCTAATGTTGGGAAGATCTCTAAAGATCACCTGTAGCCTCAATATCTGAAAGCAAAAAAAAAAGTTATCATTTATAGCCATATTATAGAATATTATTCAGTGAAAAACATGCTTATGAAGAGAATTTGTTGTAACAAGGAATAGCTCTTATTATATAATATTGTGACATTAGAATGGTTCAGTCTTGAACTATATGCAAATTAAATTTTCTAAGATAAAGTATTTTTAAAAGTCATTGTATACTTGTGTACAAGTGAAGTAGTACTATTACAGTCTTATCACCAGTTTCACTCCTAAAAGGTGGCTGCCCTCAACCCTCTTTTTTAATTTAATTTTAAGTTACAGTTGATTTTTAATATTATTTTATATTAGATTTAGGTATACAGCATAGTAGTTAGACAATCATTTAATTTACAAAGTGATTCCCCATGATACTTCAACTACCTGCCTGGCACCATACATAGTTATTATAGTATTATTGACTGTATTCTCTAAATTGTATTTTACATCGCCATGACTTTTGTAATTGCCAGTTTGTACTTCTAAATCCCTTCATCTTTTTCACTTAGCCCCCCAACTTCCTTTCCCCTTCAACTCTTGCATGTGGTTGAATTGCTATTTTTTGATGAATCAATTTTACTCATTATCTCTTGACTTACTGCAGACTGGAGAGGACATTGTACTCCCATATTGCTCCCTTAATTTACTCTGATTCTGTTATTAATTATATTACAATTTTTTGGTTACATCAATAGTGTATGGGATATTAGTATGTAAGTATCACTCACTGCTGAGCTAGCTCAGCTTTATTCTATTACAACTTTTTATTTTTCCTGAGGTTAATTTTTTTCCTCACATTTGCTTAATTATCCATGTATTTAAAATTTTATTTTTTTATTTTTGTTGATTTCAGAGAGGAAAGGAGAAAGAGAGAGAGAGAGAGAAACATCAATGATGAGAGAGAATCATTGATTGGCTGCCTCCTGCATGTCCCCCACTGGGGATCGAGCCCACAACCTGGGCATGTGCCCTTGACCAGAATCGAACCATGGACCCTTCAGTCCGCAGGCCAACATTCTATCCACTGAGACAAACCAGCTAGGGCTAACCGTTTATTTTTATCCAAAGTCTCCAGAATCACTGTCACATGCCAATTAATATGTTTTTCATCTGATCAAACACATAATTTCTTTTGAATGTGGAGACTTTCATCTCCATTCCCTTTTTAATCCTGCTCCTAGCTAGTCTGGTTACTCTCTAGACCTGCTGCAATTTCCTCAAGACTTCCCTTTGTTCTTCTGTTTCCTGGGATGTCCTTCACTGTTTTCCTGTGCTAATTTACCTGTTTCTTGAATCTCATGTCTTCCTCTTTTCTGGTTTACTCCCCCATTTTGGTGGAGCACATCATCTGGAGTTTCCTAAGAAATTGTGCTTGTGTCCTTTTATGTCTAGAAATGTCTTTTTTGCAGCCCTTACAATAGGATGATAGTTTGATTATAGAATTATTGCTCAGAATTTCTTTTTTCCATAAGAATATTGAAGACTTTTTCTTATTTCTTATTTTTAACTAGAGGCCCGGTGCACAAAATTTGTGCATGGGTAGGGTCCCTAGGCCTGGCCAGTGATCAGGGCTGATTGGGGCCTTCCTTCTGGCTGCTGGCCAGGGCCTTCCTTCATTCCATGCCACCCCCTTGTGGTCAGTGCACATCATAGGGGTCTCCCATTGAACTCCTGAGGGGGCACTTTGCATATTAGGCTTTTATATATATATAGATAGTGTTGTAAAGAACCCATTGCCTCTCTGATTCTTGATGTCTTTTATATGATCTACTCTTCTCTGGATGCTTTAATGTCTTCTCTTTCTTCCTTCTTCTTAAATTTTACTTTTAGCAATTGGAAAAAGAGGAAAGAGAAAGAAGTACATTTGTTTTGAATTACAAGTATTGTGTTAGGCATTTGTACATACCAATTCATTTAATCAGGAAACTTCTCTTAGTAGACCATACCTTCCCAGACTTATGTACATAGTGGAAGTATCCCAGTATACACAGGCAGTTTTGTCTGGAGGAAACATAATGACATGGAAACTCATTGGTTCAGTCATGCTTATTTGTTTACAGTCCTCTACTTGCATCCCAGACATTCAGCCCTTCTCTATATGCTTGCTATTTTTCACTTCTACCTTTATTTATTTTCTTCTCTTGGCTTCACAAAAACATTTTTTAAATTAATCAAGTCATATGCATGATTGTTGTTCCAGGAGTCAGTGATGTTCAGTGATGTGTCCATAGACTTCTCTCAGGAGGAGTGGGAATGCCTGAATGATGATCAGAGAAATTTATACAGAGATGTGATGTTGGAGAATTACAACAACCTGGTTTCAATGGGTAAGGACATCTGTCCATATTAATTCAGATTCTGCCCTCAGAAGGTCTGCTTCCTCCAGGGTGAAATACTCACCTACCTTTCAAGTAACCAGTTAGATTTCTAATTCAGTTCCCAGAGGAATGTTTTTATTTTTATTTTAAATATGTTTTTATTGATTTCAGAGAGGAAGAGAGAGAGAGAGAAACATCAATGATGAGAATCATTAATTGGCTGCCTCCCACATGCCCCACACTGGGGACCGAGCCCGTAACCCGGGCATATGCCTGGACCGGAAATTGAACTATGACCTCCTGGTTCATAGATCAATGCTCAACCACTGAGCCATACCAGCTGGGGTCTTTAATTCTTTTTTTTTTTTAAATATATTTTATTGATTTTTTGCAGAGAGGAAGGGAGAGAGATAGAGAGTTAGAAACATTGATGAGAGAGAAACATCGATCAGCTGCCTCCTGCACATCTCCCACTGGGCATGTGCCCGCAACCAAGGTACATGCCCCTGACCGGAATCGAACCCAGGACCCTTCAGTCCGCAGGCCGACGCTCTATCCACTGAGCCAAACCGGTTTTGGCTAATTCTTTCTTAATGAAGGAACTGGATTTGAATTCTGGGACATTCTTATCATAAACATGTCTCATTACTTCTTTTGTAAGCAGGACATTCTATTTCTAAACCAGATGTGATCTCCTTCTTGGAGCAGGGGAAGGAACCCTGTTTGGTTGACAGAGAAGTAACAGGAAGCCAATATCCAGGTAAGTGAGGCATGACAGTAATGACCCAGTTAGTCAATGGAGAGGCTACACCTTTGAGATGCTCTCTGGGAAGTTTCCCATAAAAGCTTTAAGCCTGTTGTGCAAAAGTAAGCCTTTTCAGCATGACTTTCAAGTGACCTTACCTTTTCCCCTTTCTTAACACATTGCCTGTTTTTTTTCCTCTTACACTTCTCTCCTAATTTTAACCAGCTATTGCCCTCTTCTACCTTCTCTAATGATATTTCTTCCTATCCATATTTTGGATCTAGTTTCTTATCATCTTCTCAATCTCTTTTGTATTAGCCTTTAAAAAAAGCATCACTGTTTCCTGAAATATATTCTTTTCTACATTACCAAAGACTTATTTTCTTTAGAATTTTTTAGATACAGTAGTTCCTATACTCATTGATTCAGTCATACTTTTAATGAACATTTACTGATTTTCTAATTTACTCTTCTAGGTGCTGGAGATAATTAAAAAAGGACTAAGAAGTTATAAAATTTATAACTTAGTAGGAGTACTAGAACATGTTTTTACATGTAACTTCTACAAAGTAGAACCACCATAGGAGCGGTTAAAAGGGAGCTCAGAAGAAAGTGAGAGTAAAAATGTAGAAGAGTTGATACACATACAAATCATAGAAGGAGTTTTTTTTTTTAAGTTTTTCCGTATTTTTTGTAATGTTTTTATTGATTTTTTTTCTTTTTTTTTAGAGAGAGAGGAAGGGAGTGGGATTGAGACATAGAAACATTGATGAGAGAGAAACATCATCGATTAGCTGCCTGCCTCCTGCACGCCCCTCTAGGGATTGAGCCTGCAATCCAGGCATGTGCCCTGACTGGGAATCGAACCCATGACCTCTTGGTCAATGTTCAACTGCTGAGCCACACTGGCTGGGTCATAGAAGGAGATTTAAGCATGCATGTCATTGACTTTAAATAGAATATTGCAAATAAAGGGTTTGTGCCTCCATTGAGAACTTAGAGCTGGCAAAGATAAAGAGATTTGGTATGAAGGAGGAAAAGAGGACAGCATATCATCAATATATGTTTATCGAGAACTATTCTTAACTCTGATGTTACTAGTACAGTAGTTAATAGAACATAAAAAAACTTTATTCTCAGAGCTTACCCTCCAATGTAGGGATAGATACACAGTAAATAAATATATATCAGGTAATAGTAGGTACTAAAAAGAAAAGTGGAGAGAGGGCTTAGGCAACGGTTCTCAACCTGTGGGTCGCGACCCCATGGAGAGAGGGCTTAGGCAATGGTTCTCAACCTGTGGGTCGCGACCCCTTTGGCGGTCGAACGACCCTTTCACAGGGGTCGCCTCAGACCATCCTGCATATCAGATATTTACATTATGATTCATAACAGTAGCAACATTACAGTTATGAAGTAGCAACGAAAATAATTTTATGGTTGGGTCACAACATGAGGAACTGTATTTAAAGGGCCAGAAGGTTGAGAACCACTGGGTTAGAGGGTGCTATTTTATGTGACATGATAAAATAATGTTACATTTTCCATTAAGGTGACATTTATGTAAAGACCTGAAGAAGTACAGCAGTACTTCTGATGTATTTTTCAATCTGAGGACTCATCTTTTTTGGTGATAGGAAGTCCTTGGCAGTCATCTCTTCAAATAGTACCTTGCTACCGTTTCCTCTTTTCTCTCTTAAGCTCTTGTTAAATAGACATTAGAACATCTGGATCATCTCCAATGTATTTAACTCTTCATCTGTTTTTCCATTTATACTGTTTTAACATAGAATTTCATGGCTTGATTTGTGTTAATTCACTAATGTAAATGTTAGCTATGAGCTTTTGGCTCTTCAACCTTCCCATTAAGTTTTTTATTTAAAAAAAAATAGTTATTTGTAAAATGTACTTATATATACAATGGGGTATATATAACTTATAATTAGCATAAAATTATAAGATAACATGTAAATCTCTAGATTTGCATGTGTAAGAGATTTGCTAGGAAATACACCTAGGAATATAATTTCTGGCTCTTGACCTACATACTTATTCAGCTTTACTAGGTAATACCAAGCTATTTTTCAAGTGTTTGTATCACTTTCTCTCCCTATAATTGATATTATAAGATTTTTTTCATTTTCTTAACAATCTGAATGATGAGTATAAAATCTTATTTCACTGTTTTAAATGATTTGTAGGAATTTCTTATATATTTTTCTAGATACTAATTTTTGGTCAGTAACATGTTTTATAGACATCTTTTCCAGTTGTAACTTCTTTATTTACTTTATTATATCTTTTGATTAATAGTAATTCCCTGTGTTAGTATGCTTAAATTACATATTTAGTAGTTCAATTAAATATAATTTATAAAAAACATTCTACTTTTTTCTTATATGTGTCACATCTTTGGGGGTCATAAGAAACCTTTCCTGCCCAGCCAGCATGGTTCAGTGGTTGAGCTTTAATCTTAAAAAAAAAAAAAAAAAAAGAAACCTTTCCCTAGCCCAATTTTCTCCTGTTTTTCATATTTTGACTTGCGTATTAAAGTCCTGTTAATGTAACTAGAAATGATTTTTATGAAAGGTGTGAAATAGAGACCAGTTGTAATTGGTTCCCATATAGAAAACAAATTATCTAGGCCCCAATCAATAAAAGTTTTCCACTGATCCACATGTTTCTTCTGTCATATATTAAAAGTCTTTGTTTACATAGTTCTCTCTTGTTCTGTTGGCTTTTTTTATCTATTCCTTTCCTAATTATTCTTGCTTTTAATATTTTATATATTTTTTTTATTGATTTCAGAGAGGAAGGGAGAGGGAGAGGGAGATAGAAACATTAATGATGAGAGGGAATCATCGATTGGCTGCCTACTGCACTCCCCACACTGGGGATTGAGCATGCAACTCAGGCATGTGCCCTGACCAGGAATCGAATGACCTCCTGGCCCACAGATTGATGCTCAACCACTGAACCATGCTGGCCAGGCTACTCTTGCTTTTATAAAACACTAGAGGCTTAGTGCATGAAATTTGTGCATGGGGGGGGGGGCGGGTCCCTCAGCCTGGCCTGCCCCATCTTCAATCCGGGACCACTGGCTCCTAACCATTCGCCTGCCTGCCTACCTTCCTGCCTGATTGCCCCAAACTGCCTCTGCTTGCTGGCCTGATCGCCCCCTAACTGCCTCCCTGCCGGCCTGGTCGCCCCCTAACTGCCCCCCTGCTGGCCTGGTTGCCCCCTAACTGGCCCACTGCCGGCCTGGTTGCCCCCTAACTGGCCCTCTGCCGGCCTGGTTGCCCCCTAACTCCCCCCCTGCCAGCTTGGTCACCCCCTAACTGCCCCCATGCCGGCCTTGTTGCCCCCTAACTGCCCCCCTGCATCTGATTATCCCCAAACTGCCCTCCCCTGCCAGCCTGATAGCCCCCTATCTGCTCCCCGTCAGCCTGAAAGCCCCTAACTGCCTCAGCCTTGGCCCCCGCCACCGTGGCTTTGTCCAGAAGGATGTCCAGAAGGTCTCCCGGTCTAATTAGCATATTACCCTTTTATTAGTATAGATTCTGATCTTTGTAAGACAGATCCCTCCACCTTTTTCTTCAGAAGTATGTAGTTATAATTTTCTTTCTAGTCTTCTATATAAACTTTAAAATTACATTAAAGTTTCATTTAAAGTGTTGACATTTTAAAACATCCACTCATGATAAAATTTCTCAACAAAGTGGGGGTACAGGGAATATGCCTCAACATAATAAAGGCCATATATGGCAAGCCAACAGCTAACATTATACTCAATAGCAAAAGCTGAAAGCTTTTTCTCTAAGATCAAGAACAAGACAAATATTCTTGCCAATTTTATTTAACACAGTACTGGAAGTCTTAGCCAGAGCAATTAGGCAAGAAAAAGAAATGAAAGACATCCAAATTGAAAAGAAAGAAGTAAAACTGTTTCTATTGGCTAATGGCATGATACTGCATATAGAAAACCCTAAAATCCCTGCCAAAAAAACACCAAACTGTTAAAAGTAATAAATGAGTTCAACAAAATTGCAAGATACAAAATCAATATTCAAAAATCAGTTGTGTCTCTATACACTGACAGTGAACACTCAGAGAAATTTCAAAACAATTTCATTTATAATGGCATCAAAAAAAATAAAATATCTAGGAATAAATATAACCACTGAAAACTATAAGACACTGATGAAATCAATTGAAGAAGACACAAAGAAATGGAAAGATCCCATGCTCGTGGATTGGAGGGATCAGTATTGTTAAAATGTCCATACTACCCAAAGCAATCTACAGATTCAGTGCAATCCCTATTAGAATTCCAATGGCAACTTTGAGAGAAATAGAAACACTCCTGCCCTCACTAGTTTGCTCAGTGTCAGCCCATGAACTGAAGGGTTGCAGGTTCGATTCCAGTCAAGGGCACGTACCTCATTTGCAGGCTTGAACCCCAGCTCCAGTGGGGGCATGTGCAGGAGGCAATCAACCCATGTGTCTCACATCAATGTTTCTCTCCTTCTGTCTCTCCCCCTCCCTTTTACTCTGTAAAAATGCATGGAAAAATATTCTTGGGTAAGGATTAACCAAAAAAAAAAAAAAAAAAAAAATTCCTGACAATCCTAAAATATATGTGGAACCTCAAAAGACCCTGAATAGCCAAAGCATTTTTGAGAAAGAAGAGGCATCTGGGGGTATCTTACTTCCTGATTTTAAGCTAGAGTGGACTTTTGAACAATGGGTTTGAATTGTGTGGGGCCACTTAAACATTTAAGTGCACCCATGCAGTTCAAACCCACATTGTTCAAGGTTCAACAGTATTTCTGAACCATGGTTGGGAATTCACATTGATAAAGGTTGACTTAAATACTTTGCAGATTTTTTAAACTTTTTCAGTGGTCAGCATCCCTAACCCCTGTGTTGTTCAGGAGTCATCTGTATATTACAAAACTATAGTAATCAAAACAGTATGGTATTGGCATAAAAACACACACAGATTAAAAGGAGCC